TATAATAATATGGCCTAAATTAAGTACATAAAACACACTTATTACCATTCTTAAGTTTCTTTTTGGGGAATTGCCCTTATTCAGTTTTGTCCTAATGGATGGAGCACCGATTTGCCACATTGATCTTATTGTGTAGGTTGAACTATCCCGAGCTCACTATAGAATAGTTCAATTCATTATATTCTTTCAAGGAGGATGAAAAAGACTCCAGATGGTACTACCGTACTACGATAGTGTTAGGCCAAGGACGGGGGTAATTGATACTGGACTCTTTGTCCTCAGTGAAAAATTTGGAGGAGTTCTTTGTTTTTGGAGAGCGGCAATTTCATCCACATGAGGCCGATAGGTGAAAAATTATATCAACTCGTTGGTGGATTTTTTTTTTTTTTTTTTATGGTTCTCAACATTTAATTTAAATTTATTATTGCCATCAGTGCTTAACGATGAGTGCCTATGCTCATTGGAACATAACAACGATGAGTGCCTATGCTCATTGGAACATAACATACGTATGTACAACCTTTCCAAATTGATGTCCTAAATACCAGATGACGTGATAGGTGAACATAATATACGCGCGCGTGTGTATATATATACTGATTAAGTGTGTAACAAAAATTGATTGGATGGAGGTGTTGAATGTCCTTCAAACAGTCTAATAAAAGTGTGTGGCATTATGTCAACTATTTTGCAACTTTTTTTTGCTTTTAGCTCATTTTCTTTAAATAACAGAGAAAAATCAGAAATTAAAGAAAATGGAGGAAAGACGCATTGCAATTTTATCTTCAATTTCAATTTCAATTTCAATGTACATCATCAAAAACAAAGATAAGAAAATAAACATAAAAAAATTATTTACAAACCCAGAAAATCAAAGTGTCTAAGCAGAAAATAAACAGTTTGCAGCAGCAACACTGAATTGCGATTTAGGTGCCGAAATTTCCATTTTATCTCCTTCTTCTTTGTTACGCAGCTTCATTTTGATCCAAGAAGAAGAACCTTCAAGTCTCTTTATCAAAACTGCTACACAAGAAAACATTTCCATGTCTTCTTCCCCTCTTTTTCTCGAATCCTTCACCATCCTCTCATACTCCTCCGCTACCAACATAGCTATATCTGCCATTTCTTTAGAATTTGTTCGATCGAGTCGGGTTTTATTTGTTGGTGCCACTGTGGGTATTTATATGGTACTGGTCGAGAAATGGATAAGGCTGCCACACGTATTGTGATGATACTACGTGTGAGCATTATTTTAAAAAGTGGTGGCGGTTTGGGGAATTTCTATGGGCTCTGCAGACCAAATGACATGGTTTTGTTGAATTCTTTAATTTAAGCAACCAGTCTAATGATTTAGAAATACACTTATAATGAAAAACAAGGCAGTCGACACGTGTTTAACGTTTTCAGCCTTTGTTCAATATTTGTCCAAGTGTTTGCTGCCTTAACTGTAAAATATTCGTACTCGATAGAGTCGGGAAGAGTAACGAGATGACAAAGTTGATAACAATGGGCTTGGACAGTGGACTGCCACTGGATAGAGCAGTGTTCAAGAATACCGTGGTTGAGAATCTACTATTCGTTTGGAATTTATTTTGACAATTCATTTCAGCGTAGGGCTATTCTAATACAAACTCTTCGATCCCGATACTAGTCGATGCAAAGTGATAGAATTGATTCTTCCAAAAGTATCAATCAAGTCACGAACAAACCCTTTTAGTATTGACGACTTAATTTGAGATTCAAACAAGTCAATAAATTTTCATGTTATGCTCCACATCACATACTTCCTATAAGTCTCCTAGTATTCTCCTAACAATTATTAAATTTAAACCAAGTTTTCCCCAACTTTTCAATTGCATAAGCACTTTTTTGAGTTCCTACGAAATTCTTAAAGATAATTTGTAAATTATAAAATTGAAAGTGTGCTTACATCTGAAATTTTCGTAGCACAGGAGCTTTAAACCATCGAGCTACATTCAAGTCGATCGATCTCTGTCACACCAATGTGAACACATATGAACTTGAAACACTTTCATCGAAAAACATGCATGAAGTTTTTTAATTAAAATTTACTCTCTCTAATTTCTGACAAACTAGTCTAGAAAAAAAATTACTTCAATTAACATTTTTGTAAAGTTGAAATGTCAAAAGCATATTTGTTTGTGTTAAATGATTATAAGTTCCTTGTGCCGTGGATTTGAGCATATGGCAAAAATTCAAAGAGGATTTCATATTCACGAGATTTATCTATCTGCAAAAATGTGGAAGAGGGGAAAAAACAAATGTCTGAGCCCGGGTTTGAACCGGGGACCTCTAGTGTGTGAGACTAGCGTGATAACCAACTACACCACCCAGACATTGGCTCTATGTGTCTTATTTTATTTTAATTATCTGGTATTGTTTTGATTCATTGAAATATATGCAGATTAATTCTATAAACAAATTCCATTATCTGTTTTCATATTAGTACTAGTCGTTGACACGTGCGTTGCACGAATATTGTATTTATTGTGTTTTTATTAGTGGAGAAATTTTAGATATTAAAAAAAAGTAATTTAAGATTTATTGGATTATTCAAGAGTCATGGGAGCATATTATTGTTTCGCTACTGATCCGTCTAATAAGGTGACTATTTCAAAAACTGATATTACTGCACAAAGAAACTCACCAAAAATAAAATTGAAAATATTATGTGTATATAGATGAAAATAGAAACGTTTGACATACATAAAAATTGCAGGTTTACAAAAAAATCTACTGTAAATACCAAACAACATTGAAATAAAAGAGGAACAACGATCTCAATAAAATCCAATCCCCCAACATAAGTACGTGAAAAAATGAATTAAAAAGTATATAATAAATTACATAACATGACGTGATATTATATAAATTATTATGTAAATCTTGATATACATATATAAAGATCTAAAAAAAGATATATAGAGATAAACTAGAGATGCTCACGATAAGCTCCCCCTCTTTGACAAGAAACGGTGAATGTTTAACTACAATTGTTCGTATGAAACCCACAAGCGTACGTGATCGTTGTACAAGTAATAAAATATGTGACTTAAAAGTATCGTTCCCACGAAAAATAAGGTCTAATTTGTAATTCAATAGATATTATTTAATTCGAAGTGTGATGAAATCAAAAGAGATGATTCGTATATTATTTATACTAATCCTAAACTAACAAAGTAAATAAAGTGTTTATTTAATTTGTGAATATTTGTATTGAAATCGTGAATTTTCCAATTGCCATTTAATTCAATTCTTAATTCGTAATATAGTAAATTCATGCATTCAAGACAATTGATAATCTACCATTATTCAATATTCGTTTCCAAGATATATGAAACATATGTTCAACACGACTCGATCATATTCCTAATCTGAATTTATATGAAAAATATGCATTGAACCACAGGATTTATCACACATGATTGCACATGCCATAGATATTATTTCTAATACCTATTATCCATATGTTGATTTTGCTGCATTCTAGACTTATTGTGAGTATTCATATACTACAAAAAGTAACTTACTATTTAATTGATGATCAAGCAATCAAATAGTTCAATGGGAATGCAAAACCAACCAAGAAAAATCATGAAATACTAAAATAATTGTCTTGAATTAAAATAAACAAACAATAAGGTTCATCATTCATCCAATACAATGAAAAACTTAGCCTAACATTCTTATAATTAAATTACACAAGAATAATTGGAAAAAATCACTCGGAAATAAGAAAGATGGAAGAAATAGGAAAATCTACGTTCTTGACTCAAATCTTGAAATCAGACTATGAATCTTCAAAATTCTTGTATGATTCGCCTTGAATTGATGTATAGACTTGTTCTTTGCCTCCAAAATATGTAGAATATGATGAAATTTAGGTTCAATCAAGGCCCCCCACGTTCTGGTCAAGTTTCATATTTAAAGGATGTCAAAAAAATTGCATTAAATTGTTACCAAAATAAAAGAAGGAAAGTGTGATTTTTTCCCGTTTAGCCTTGAGGCGCTCGCCTAGTGCAACCTAGGGCTCTCGCCTTGGGGGTTTGGGCAGCCTCATGCGAGGCATTTTGGTCTGGGCTTGCCTAATTTTCGGCAGCTGAACAGCTATCAGTATTTTTATCATAACTTTCTCTCTCGATATTCGATTGAGGTGATTTAAAATACATTGGAAAGATAACTCGGAGAGCTACGATTTTGCAGTGTATAATTTTTCCAATTTGGAAGTTTTCTATGCCAAAATTGGGTCTCAATGTGAGCCTAAAAATCCAAAGCATAACTTTTTCGACTAGAAGTTGATATGTGATAACACTTAAACTATATTTCATCCCTTTGGCTTATTTCCTCATCCAATTGATTCCCAATGCTCTAAAATCTTCACCGCGAGGTTCGACGTAATTTTTGAGTATTTACATTTCGGTCCCCGAACTTTGTATTTGATACAATTGAGTCATTTTTCGCTATCTTTACATTCTTTTCTCAAATTCTTCATCAAACATTAAATTTTACCTACAAAATGAAATATAATATGAGTTGGTAGTATTTTATCCAAAGAACATTGAAATCTCATCATTTAGGATCTCAAATAAGTGTAGAAACTACACTTATCAATAATTATCGCTTCACTAATAGAATTATCGAGCTCTTGCACTTTAACAAATGCTAACCCTCTAAAATCATATGATGGTAGGCCAATATAAGGGGAGATGCAACCCACGAGAATTTCCAGAAAGCTCTAAGTAAACTGTCCTAACGGTTTCGAACAACCTCATCAACACCAAAGCCTCGCATGTCTTCTATAGTGCTACATTAATATTCAATTATATGGTTCCATCGACTATTTTACTTTTAGTTATATAACCATCCATCATGTCGTTACAACGCACTAACTTGTTCGACCACCATCTCCGTAATTTTCAACGAGCCCTTATATACAATTCATTCAACAAAACCATTCCAATTCCCACATCAGTCACCACCTACAAACTTGGGATTCGAATCTCAAGTCTAGCACCCACACACAACAACTCATAGTTGAAATTGAATAATTGATTGTGTAATTGATGCAATTGGCAAACACCAATGGATGTTTGTTTCTTAATTTGAATTCCTCTAGGTGAATTGGATGATTGTAACACGCGGAAACCATCAATTTTGTGATGAATTCTTCCTTGGTGGAATGGCGTGGGAGATGCTCCCGATAGGCAAAACTCGTCTTCCCCAGTTGAACGGTGTGGGAGATGCTGCCACAAAGAAACATAAGCTGCAGTGCCATAGGCACCCCCTGTGGTGAAAGATACACTCACAGTTCCACAAGACTTGGCGACGTCAGTAGCCCATCCTATGAAAACATCAAAGATTATGCATAGTGGAGGTTGTCCATCTTTGACAGTAATTTTATTCATGAGGCTACGAAATGGAGCTTCTAGGGGAGTTGAGGAATGAAAAAGGTTTACAACTTGAGGTAAAGGCATGGCCTCTGTGTTCTCAGTATTGGGTGGTAGGCCATGATCAGTGTTGTTAAAAGGAAGCTCCACCAAATGTATTTGAGTATGTGGGGAAATGGCACAATGATGATTGGGCCTGGTCTGATTAAATGGGCTGAAGTAATGTTGATGGGCTGGATTGTTTATTTGGATAACTTGGTGGCCCCTGTTCTGTTTTTGGTAAAAAA